TATCCTGAATATTCATGATCTCACTCAGATCCATTCGGACATGAACCTCCCAGTGCCTGACCCAATTCTTCTCACGAACAGCCATGATGGACTGGACGGGGTAAGGTTACTCTCTTGGCGCTGATCCCTACTTCTGTTAATTAAAGCTGCATGGCTTGCTCTGTGCTGGAGTAGGATATTCTTATTTAATAACAGGCTATGGCTCTCCCAAAGGCTTTTAGGAATTGGTCTCTCAGGCCTGGGAAGTCTGCTGGAGGTAATGCTGTGCTCTGCAGTCCTCCTTTGTTTTTAAAGAAGGGTGCTTAGAAACCAGGAGCGTGGCAGAGGCTCTAAAGTTTTCCTTATTTCCTTTGCAACACTGTTAAAGCTTACGACTAGTTTGTGAGTAAAACATTTTGTATATTTTAGCCAAATATGAAAAAGAGGAAGCTGGAAGACCGCGAAGAGACCTTTCAGGGTAAGAGTCCCCAAGTCTCTTGTGTTGCTGCCTGCCCCCTGAACCAGTGCACCGTGCCTTAGGGATATGAAGTCACATGAACCCCACTTGCCCTGTCCTGACAGCAGCTGCTGCTCATGCAGCACCCCACAACCTCTCAGAGCCTGAGCTATGGATGTTCTGTTGTGGAGGAGTCAGGTTCCAGCTCTTAGAAGCATAATTAGGACTACTCTGATAGACATAAGTAGTACTGGCTTGAGCTTGGCCTGCTGACAGAGGCAGCTGATCTCCCTATGGCTCTGTGCTGAAAGCTCTCCTTGTCTGGAGGAAGATACCAGGCTTTGGATTAAGCTGAGGCAGAAAGAAACAGCTCATACACGTGCATCAGGAAAATCCGTTGTGCGCAGCCTCAGCAGCCTAGAGTTCTTCAGCTCTCGTCTCCGCTCCGTGTTTTCTCTTTTCCTTCCTTCCTTTGTGGTAACTGCTGTTATCCCATGTCAAATTTCCCCTTCCCCACAGGTTAGCTATAGCCTGGCTCAGTGTCCACTGCTAGCCTTTGCGGGAGATAAGACGCTCAGGTGGACCTTCGGTCTGATCCTCTGGTGCAGCTGTTCCTACGTGTCGCTGATGCGAGGTGTTTTTCTCCTCTGCCGCTAGGTACCAAAGTGTTTGTGATGCCCAATGGGATGCTGAAGAGCAACCAGCAGTTGGTGGACATTATTGAGAAAGTGAAACCAGAAATCAGGCTGCTTATTGAGAAGTGTAATACGGTGGGTATGAGCGCTGGAGGAAGTAGAGACAGTAGGATGCTTTTGCTCCTGGAGAGGCAAAGCTGCTCTGAGTGGAAGGAGCAGGCCCCTCTGTATTCTGTAGATGAGGAAAGGCAGGATTCGTACTGCAGCGTCTAAAAGTGGCTAGGAGTTAGGTGTAGGGAAAGAATGTTTTTCCGAGTCCTCAAGGAGCTCTGCAGTTCACCTCCTGAAGGAGGATTATGTCTGTTATACCAGCTCCTTACTTGAGGCTTTTCTTCACTTCCTTTTGCACAGTCACAGACCCCTGCTGCGAGCTTCTGTGGCACAGTCAGGAGAGCTTCCCATGAGAAGCTGTGCTTGTGCTGGCTTGTGTGGCATGCCAGCCATGTGGGAAATGATCTCCTCAGAAGTGTTGCATGAGCGTGAAGGACTTGCAGGAGTTTATCATGAACTGCGTGGCAAAGGCAGGGTCCTGGGGGACTTTTGGTAAAATGTTTGAGAGAGGTCTTTGTGGAGATATTGGCATTGATCAGTGTTGTGATTGCTCCAACACAGGTCAAAATGTGGGTGCAGCTTCTCATCCCCAGGATAGAAGATGGAAACAACTTTGGTGTTTCTATTCAGGTAAGGCACCACTGGCTTTGTGCCCTGCTGTAGGAGAGAGCTGTGCTTCAGGGACATGGATCTCTTGGGTTCCTCTGAATCTTTCATGTGATGGTATCCAGCAGCTGCAGTCATGGGGTTGGTTTAGGTTTTAAAACCTAAACCTGAAATTGACATGGCACTGCTGAGATGTGTTGCTTTCAGAGCCCTGAAGGCCAGCTGCAGTCTCATGAAGCTAATGGCTTCCTTGTCTTCCCTGCAGGAGGAAACAGTTGCTGAGCTTCGAACTGTGGAGAGTGAGGCAGCATCCTACCTGGACCAGATTTCTAGGTAGGTGTGCAAGAACAGACCTCTTTTTCAGAATCCCCTTGGGAAAAGTAAAGTGCTTGGGGAAGGTCCCCCAGCTTTTCTAGGGCAGCTTGGGCCTGAAAAAAAATCTTGCTGCTATTTATCTGACCTTTGATCTCTCCCTTTTCCTACCAGATATTATATCACAAGAGCAAAGTTGGTTTCCAAAATAGCTAAGTACCCTCATGTGGTAAGTAAACAGGGAAGTGGAGGTTTACATGTTACGTGCTGCTGCTTTTTGGGACTCTTTGGGCTGCTTCATTGCTGTCCTTTTTGAGTTGAGGGTCCTGGGGAGGAAAAGGGGGGATCATACAAGGATGCAGGACATCTGCATTAGAGGAGAGCAAACTGAAGGGGGGATTCCTTTGTAAAAGGTAGGATCTTCACTTGGTGTATGGGAGGCACAGCTGAGCTCAGGCCACTCAGCTATGCGTCTGCTTTCTGTAGGAGGACTACCGCCGCACAGTGACAGAGATCGATGAGAAGGAGTACATTAGTCTGCGCCTGATCATTTCAGAGCTGAGGAATCAATATGTAAGTGAAAAACTGGAGCTCGCACTGGCTCCTTGCACAGCAGTGGAGAGCCCTTTTGATTCTGCTGCTGCTCTCCCCTTTCCCTGTGAGCACGCCTAGTCCTGGCAAGAAGCCTCTTGTCCCCGCTCCTGCTCTAACAAGAAGAGCCAATTGTTGCCCCTCCACCACCTCCTAGAGGTGCAGGTGTTTCCAACTGAGTGTTCACAGGAGTCTAGCACAAAATATTCCTTCCACCTCTGTGGGAACCTGTGATCCTAAACTCTTCATGCAGTGTAAGCCATTCCTGGGGTCTGTGAAGAAGTCTGTCTGTGGTGTTACATGCAGTGGCTTCTGTAAAGTCTGGCTGAAAGAAGCCCTTATCTTAACTAGGTGCGTGACTGCATGCAGGGGTTGAGGGTAGTGCCAAGATGAGCTGTGCTGCTGTTTTAACCAGTGCTCATTGTGAAAGCTGAACACTGGATGACTTCACCCTTCTTGTCTGAGTCCTGTTCTCCCTTTTTGCAGGTCACTTTGCATGACATGATCCTTAAAAACATTGAGAAGATAAAGAGGCCTCGGAGCAGCAATGCTGAGACCCTCTATTAAGTGTCAACGTTTGAACTTGAGAACTGTTCAGTCAACTAAAGACCGTCATTGCCTTGGTTTGTTACGTGACTATCGAGATGGGAAACTGGCTGGAAATAGTATCGCATTCTTAGTTAAACTCTAAAGAAATTCTCACCTAGTTTTGTGATTGGTTTTGTTCAGGTCTCAGGAGCTCTCCCTCCCTGTAGTAACTGGTAACAAGAAGGCTGTGCTGCTTTGGGGTGCCCTAGAGGCTACTGCAGAGTGAGAGCACCAGCCAGGCAGGAACATTCCTTCATGCCTTTCTTCCTACCTGAGTAGGAACCACATTAGAGACCAAGCCCTTGTCCTGTCCCATCTCTTGGCTGGAGGCTTCACTGGGGTCTCTGGGAATGGGGCAGACAGTCTTCAGCACGAGAGCAAGCCCAGGTGGTGGTGCAGTGGCAGAGAAGCTCACTCTCCACTGCTGGTTGTAGCTGGGCCCCTCTGCTGCCGGTGCTCTGCACTGATCCATTGCAAAGACAGGGGAACTGCCCCTTCTGGGCTGGTGGCAGCAGCCACACTCCAATGCTGCTGAGCGGTCTGCACTCCTTTTCTGGCTCTCTTCTGACTCAGCAGAGCCTGCCCCGTCTGTCTCTGCCTTGTCAGTTGTGGCTAGATCAGTGCAGAGCGTGAGGTGGTGCTTGAAAACTAGGGCTGGTTGCTGTCCTGGCTGGTCGTGAGCTCAGGTGACTTGTGCTCCTGTTTGCGATTTGACTAGAGCCACTTTCTTGGCTACCACCAATGTTACTTCACATAAGTCCTAGTGCCCCTTCAGCATGAGATGCTTTTGCCCAGGCTGAGAGAAGGGAGGGGCTGGAGGTCCGATACTAAAGTCCTGATAGTTTCCACACATGGTCAGACTGAGACCTGCTGTCTCCTGGCAGTGCTCCCTGCTGCCCGGGCAGAGCAGGCCAGCTGCGACAGCTGAGGCTTGGGGGTGAGGGTGGCTGATACCCACCTGGTACCGTGGCAGACCTTGTAGTCTTTCCCCTGCAAAGGGCACGCTTGGGTGCCCGTTGACTCCCCTAAGCTGCCGGAACATTTCATGGTCCATTACAAACCCCTTTGGAAATGACTGGTTGTGTTGCGTCAGTTTTTGTGTGTGGCAAGTGGGCCCATAACGCTGCAGGCTCCAGAATTTTCTTATTTATAGTATTTCTACTTAAGTCCCCTATTCAGGGAACGTTAAATCATTTGTTTCAGGAACCTCGCTGTTTCCTGGGTCTCGCTGTTACACCTGTATATTCTTATTGTGCAGTAGCCTTAATAGTTGTGTTAACCTCATTGTAACAACAGTGACAAATGGAATGAACTTTCTCCCCTTCTTTTTTTACTTTGTTTTCGTTTCTTCTGCTTCCACATCTAAGAGCCATGTTGTCTCTTGCTGGTTTCCCAGGGATTTGCCCAGAGTGTGGAGGGCCGCTGGCCCTTGCTATAGACTCTTCTGTTGTTGTTTGTAGTAAGTCAACTCTTAGTCTTCCCGCTAATAAATATTCAGTAACAAACCAACTGCGTTCTAGCTGCTGTCTGGGAGCAGCACTTCCCCTTGTGTTTCTTTGTATTGATTCCTTTTAATTTGTTCGGCTCTCTTTGCCAAATGAAAGTATGTAAACTTTTACCATGTCAAGAAATTAAAATAAGGTACTTGGAATTCTTTTAAGGTAGCCCCTTGTGTGTGATACTGAGCTCTTAGGCTGTGCAGCGTTAACGTCTGTTCTGGTCCTGCCTTTCTCGCATCCAGTTGCTCCTTCCCTGCGTTCTCCTCATTCCTCTCTTCGACTGTGTTGTAAACTGCTGTGTACTGCTTTGTCGGTTGTTTCTCTTCCTTTAGCATGCCTTACATTGGGCCCATGGTCTTGGGTCTGATGTGATCCATCCCATCTCAACCCAGCGTGTGGGACTCCGGCCGTCTCAGTTAAAACAGGTGCAAGAGACTTGCGTGGTGTTTCTCGAAGGGTCTGCAGCCTGCTCTATGGCTGCTCCTGCACCTCTGCCAAGCAGGTGCCTGCAGCACTGTCCTGGGACAGGCGCCTGGAGGCCACACCTGGTGCGTGCATTCAGCGCATGTTCCGCTACGCTCTCGGTACCAAAGGAAAACGCTGGCCGCCCTGCAATCCCCCAGCCAACGCGTCCTCTGCTCTCCCTGGGGGATCATCCTCATTTTTGTTGCGCTTCCCCCCGTGTCTACTGCACCGCAGCCCGGGGTGCAGAGGCCTCCCCAGTGGCACTCCTGTTCCCTAAGCGTCCTGTCCCGTAGCCACCCCTCCCAGGCAGGGTGCTGCTAGGTGGGGCCGGTGCCCGGCCCCGGAGCGGCTGCCACAGGCCAGGGCTCCTGGCTGGCATGTCCAGCCTCGAAACCTTCAGCTGCTGAGAAGCAGGAGCAGCCACTTGCGGACAGATGGTTCCTGCCTCCCGCAGGGCCGTCTGCCCCACAGTGCTGCCTGCTGTGTGGGAAAGTCCTGCAGGTGCCCCAGCCGCTCTGGGCAAGGTGGGAGTCGAGCTGGAAATGGGTCACTGGGGGCCAAGGTGGCTGGAGCCAGAGCTCAAAGGAAGGGCTGTTGCTGGCAGGGCTTGATGTGGTGCAGCACGAGGGGTTCCTCTTCACTGCAGCCAGAAGAAACTGAACTCCCTGGAGGCTTGTGCCAGCGGTCCTGCGGAAGGGTGGAGCATCCAGGACAGTTGTCTCGGCGGGTGTTGGCAGGGAGCGTGGTTCATCTGCTGGAGCCAGGGGAAGGTTTATTGTCCGTGATCTTCACCCCTCAGTCTCAGTGCAATGGTTTCTGCTTTGCTCTCCAGGAGAAGTGGCAGTGTGCCGCCACGGCTCTAATTTACAGGTTCTTGAGACATCCCAGCTTATATGCAGTGACTGTTAAAACCTTGAGAGGAGAATAAAGGCACAGCAGTTGTGTGCAGACGCAAACACTGCCAGAAACGCAGCTGGCATGGGTAAGGGTCAAGCAATTTCCACTGTTCTGTTTTACACAAGCTGACCCTATGAGATGAGAGAATGGGAGTGGGAGTTTTCCAGAGTCTGAGGTCTGGCTTGGGGTATGCTTAAGACTCGCCTGTGTCAGGATTGTTGGCAAGGGGGTTTCTGTACCGTACTCTTTACCCAGCTGTCTGGCAGTCACTGACTCCGTTTCCTTGAGCCAAAAGCTGTCTGTCTCTGGTTTTGGTTTCTATAAATTTCAGAGACTATTTTTTGCCACCTCTACCTTTCTGTCCGAGCAAAAACCAGCAAACTCCTCTCTTCCTTGCTTTGTTTGGGAGACATGGGCAATTTAGCAAATATAAGATGTGCTGGTGGGCAGTACCTAAAAGCAACTGTGTAGCCAAAATAAACATTGGTAGGATGCGAATTCTCCATGTTAGGTGTGGGGCAGGGTGATGGGCTAATCAGACTGGGGAGCTGAGTTGTGGGAAGAGGTATGTGCACTAAACAGGTCATAAACAAGTTACGCTGCTGTTAGTGAGACATGTAATTTTTTAAATTCTAGGTTAGCTTTAAGCTGCTTCAGGCTTCTTTTGGAGAAGGTACACAAGCAATTCAGTGGTATGTGTGGCCCTTAAAGATCCCCGATTGCTTCTCATCAGTAAGGTATTGACACAGGTCTCCTGGCTCTGCAGGCTCAGTTAATTACTCTGCTTCCTGAAATTTCTACTGCAAGATGGAGATGGATTTAGGGCTGTTCTGTTTATTCTGAAACAGAGCTCCCAGAAAGTGCAGGCTGATGCTTGCGTTGCTTGTCATAGGCTTTAAAAGTCCTCAGCTTGAAAAGTACAGCAGAAATGGGTGGTATTAAATAACGTGGTATTAGACATGGCATCCATGGCACGTATCCTGTAGTGGGGCAAAGGCAGCGCACAAAGCTTTGTTTGCATCATCTGTATCCTGCAGACCTGGGGTGTGGGCTGTGGGTTGGTTTGTCATGGGGATGTCATTACAGGTTAGGGTTTCTCTTTTTTTCGAAACACCCGATGTGCGCAGAACTAAGAGTGTTCCCACACTTTATTTTCAGACATCTCCCAGGCAAAGCTGCAGGGTTGAGTTGTGATTTGTGGGGCAGCAAGGCCTGTGGAGTTTATCCAGTTCTCTTAAACTGCTGCTGTGCTGCTTAGAAAATGACCGTCTGTAATTGCAGCCTGTGCCTTGACTTTTAGGGACTTGGGATGCAAAACCAAGAGGCAAAGTCAAAACTGAACAATCTGCTCTTTTTGTACTTTTTTAAGGAAATGTCAGTGTGAGCATTTTGCATGCAGCCTCGCAGGGTCGTGCAGTAGTCTCGGCTCAGCTGTGTAGGTGCGTGGTGCAGCAGAACACTTGTTAAATTCCTGGGAGGCAGGAGGTATGTCCTGGCTCTGCTCTAAACCTTAACTGGGGTAACAGTGCTTCCTCTCGGCACTCTGAGTGAAATGGATAGCATGTTCTAGGCTTACACCGAAAGGGAATAAAGGCCTAAACCCAGGTAATCCTCGAAGCCTTGTTGACTTCATGGATTGAAAGACTGACTTGGAAGTTGGCGCTTCTTTGCTTAATTTGGGGCTACTCAGGGGCATCTGATTCTGCCACTGGAGGCCAATTGAAAGTCGATGAGAGCAGGGTACCTCTGAAACCTGTAGCTGTTGCATCCCTTGTAGCTAAGGCTCTCCTCTCATCTGTCCTGTCTCTCCCCTTTGCTTGTGTCTGTGCCACAGAGTGAGCCCCTCTTCTGGCACAGTGGCCACGTAAATTGACTGCTGTGGCTCTGCAGGCTTTGCTGGCGCAACGGCCAGTGAGGCAGAGATGACGCGTGCTGGCACAGAGTGGATGTGCGTGTCCCTGGCCTGCACAGCTGCAGCCTGGGCTAAAGAAGGCCAAGGCTGCCAGTGGTGGTGAGGATAATGGAGTGAGTCCTATGGCAACGTGGCCTTCTGCTTACCAGTGTGGTGTCTGGTAAGCACAGCCAGAGGACTGCAGAGGGACTGAGTCCAGGGCAAGAGTTGCTGCTGGAAGAACTGGAGGCAGTGCTGAGGCTGAGGGGGCCATCTCGCACCAGGAAACTCTGACGGGAGGAGGAAGAGAAGGCCAGGGTGAGGTGAGGTGAGGTGAGGCTGGCAGCAGGAGTGGAAATGTTGGGTTGAATCTCCAGCCCTGGTTCTCTTGGATGCCTTGTGCTTCTCAGCACCAGCTCAGGGACAGGCAGGGATAAAGTATCTAAAGTGGTACATCTTGTCTACCCCAAGCATCTGCTGCATGGCAGGATGGAGCCCCGAGTCCTGGTGTCTGGCCGCCTCATCCTGCCAAAGCCTTTCAACAGTGCTGTGAGACCAGCAGAGAGACCTCTGGTGGGGGTGGCAGAGGGCAGTTATCTCAACCTTTGGTAGAAATCCTGGAGGTGGCTGCTTAGCCTGGGTAGTGGTAGCCTGGCAGCACAGTGATAGCAGGCACTGCCATCAGCTGCCTGCTTGGCTGACGCAGGTTGGGGGTGGTTTTGTCCTTGAGGGAACTTCTCAGAAGCTGCACCTCAGTTTATCTTTGAACTGGAGGCAGAGACAAAAGCTGTGTGATCTTGTTTCAGTGGAATGCTGGGGGATTAATTAGTTCATAGCTGTTCAGAGGTGCAAACTAAGAGCTAGTTGTTCACAGCACATTGGGGCCTGAATCTCATCCTGAACTACATCTCTTCATGCCCGCCAAAGTTTTTCTACTACTACACAGATGGATGTGTTTTCAGCAAAGGCTTCCATGTGGAAGATTAAAAAAAATAAAATAAAAAGTAACTCCAAGCTTGGAATTATGCTGCCAGGGAGAATGTTTACAAGGAAGCAGCCTGATAAACAAGGAAATTTGGTGAGTTGCAAAGAGGTGAAATTCTACAGTGTGGCAACAATTCCCAGCTTGTCAGAGCCTCACAGTGGTCCCAGCCACCTCAGGCTGGCTACAGGATCTTCATTTTTACAGGCAGCCGCAGGAAGCTAGGTTGGACTGAAAAAGTAACAGAATTACGTGAAACTTGTCTGAGTCACTGACCCTGCATCTCCGCTAGTTCTTTCAGGGCACTGCTCATGGCAGAGGACAGAGGAGGCTGCAGCTGAGAGGAGATCTGCCCTTTCTGGTCACCACGAATTTCAGATCTCCTCCCCTAGCCTCTCCCAGTCTTTTGTACTTTCCGTGCTAATCCATCCAGTGCAGCGTAAACTGACAGAGGCAGCAGCTAGAAACCCTGCTCTGAAAGCTGCTGTGAATGCCTCAGGACCAGCAGCAGGCATGCACATGAAAACCCTGCTCATCCTCCTCGTTCTGGCTTCAGCCACAATATTTGCTTTAGTCTGTGTGTTGCTGACAAGAGGAAGGGCCCCCAGCACCTGCCAGCACCAGCCCCTGGAGCAGGAGGACACCGATGATGGCCAGAGCCTGGTCTTTGCCGATCTGACGCCCGAAGAGATGGTGCAAGTGGTGTGGTACCTGCAGGGAAACCTTGGGGTGCAGCTGGTTGATGCTTCGCGTGCAAAACCCTCTGACAACTGCATTGCCTCCGTTGACCTGCAGGTCCCCGCCCAGGCGGGGGGGCTGCGGTTCCTGGATGGGGGAGGGGCTCGCCCCCCCCGAGAGGCGCTGGCTGTGCTGTACTTTGGGAACCAGCCAGACCCCAACATCACCGAGTATGTGGTGGGTCCGCTGCCGATGCCAGCATATCACCGGGATGTCACGGTACAGAAGTATGGGGGGAAGGTGCCGTATCACCGCAGACCAACACTGGCTGTTGAATACAAACAGATTGCAGGGTTTTTAAAAAGCCAAGTGTTCCCCACAGCTCCATCTTTCATGCGTCAAGTAATGGAGTATGATGGAGCCAGTCTAGCAGCCCTGACAGCTGCTCCCCGTGGATTCCAGTCTGGAGATCGGATCACCTGGTTTGTTTTATTTCAGAATGTGAGCGGGTTCTTTGTGCACCCAGTGGGGCTGGAGGTGCTGGTGGACCACAGCAGCCTGGACATCTCCCAGTGGGCGGTGAGCAGGGTCTTCTACAACGGGCAGTACTACAGGGACATGGTTCAGCTGGAGAGCGCCTACGTGCAGGGTCGCATCAGCGTGCAGAAGGTGAGGAAAGCGCCGCGGGATGGGGACTTCTCGTCCATGAAGCCCCGAGCACCTTCGGCTGCGCTGTTCCCTTTGCAGTACGAGCCCCAGGGTCCCCGCTACAGCGTCAGGAACAACCACATCCTCTTCCAGGCCTGGAGCTTTGCCTTTGGGATGAGCGTGAACACAGGCCTGCGCCTGTTTGACGTCCGACACAAGGGGGAGAGGGTTGCCTATGAAATCAGCGTCCAAGAGGCGTTGTCGGTGTACGGCTCCAACTGCCCTGGAGGAATGTCAACGAGGTACATGGATGGGAGCTTTGGCATTGGGCGCTACACCTCCCCTTTGGTGCGAGGGGTCGACTGCCCCTATTTAGCAACATACCTGGATGTGCACTACCTTGCTCATTCCCAGGTCTCTAGAATTAGTAAAAGTGCCCTCTGCATCTTTGAGCAGAACCTGGGCTCCCCTCTGAGGCGCCACTACTCCAACTTGCAGTCACTCTACTATGGGGGGCTGGTCAACTCTGCTCTGGTCGTTCGGTCCATTGCGACTGTGGGCAACTATGACTACGTGTGGGACTTCATCTTCTACCAGAACGGGGCCATCGAAGGCAAGGTCCAGGCCACGGGGTACGCGAGCTCGTCCTTTCTCCATGGGGACGGTCTGAGATATGGCAATAGGGTTTGGGAGCACACGCTGGGTACAATACACACCCATTCCATCAACTATAAAGTGGACTTGGATGTGGGAGGTAGGTCTGGGTCTTCGTTTAATGTTTGCTATTATACTGGTAAACCCCAGAGCTTTGGGGGAATTCTTCCTCATCTGTAGAGTCCCTAATAACTGACATCAGAACTCTGCTTTTTCACTCTCCTAACCTCTTCTTTCATTGCAAAATTATTTTTCTGTGTACAAGACAGTCTGTCAAGGTCATGGAGTTGAAGGCAGTGGGAATTGTCTGGGAGCTCTGTGTTCAGCCCAGGGAAAGTATGAAAGGTAGCAGCTGAAAAATGTTTGTGTTTCCTTGAGGCCTCATGTCTGGCACCCTGCGTGTTGCCATAGGCATGGCCAGGCAGACGGGGAGACACAGCCCTGTCTGCAGGACTGAAGGTCTGAGCCCGCTGTTGCTGCACCTGATGCCGAGCCTGGCGCTTCTTGTAACTTGGAAAAGTCCTTTTTGTATCTTGACTGCCCAGCGTAAAGCAGGGCAGCTGGACTGGTGCTCTGCAGGGCTGAGTTTGTGCAGCTTTATCCCCGCTTCTCTTTTGAGGAAACACTTGGAAGCTGGATCCTGCGTCTCGGGCTGCAAAGCCGCTGCAGTGAGCCAGTGAATTCCCCTGCTCCTGCACAGAGTCACGGTTTTTGGCGGCGGTTCCCTGTGGAGGGTTATTTGAGTCCAGGAGCAGCCTCTTGCTGCACTGTCTGGCGGGCTGAGCCGTGAAGTGCTGGCATCCACCCTGGGAGGCGCAAGGATGCTCAGCCTGAAAGGACAGCTTTGCTTCCCCTTAAAGGCCGTTCCAGTAACTGCAGTCCCAGAAGGTGCAAGGGCAGTGGTGGTGCTGTGGCCACAGGCTGGCAGCATTAGGTGTCTGTTATTGAAACCTGCTCCCGTAAAAGGTACGGGAAAAAAATGCTTCACACCTGCACAGGACCAAACAGATTGCTAGTGGGCAGTGGACTGCATGTGTACCAGCCCGAGGAGAAATAAATGCAGCTCCAGGAACCCGTGCTGTCTCCTGGATTGCGGGGAGTAATCGGAGAACTACATATGTCAAGCTGCAGCTGACTCCAGTGCAAGCATTCAGTCCTGGCATGTGTCCTCTCTTGTACCTGCCTGTGATGCAGCAGAGGTTTGTGTGGCCTTGAAAGGTGGTGCTGCTGTCATTACAGTCAAAAACAGGACTGATACTGGTTCCCTTCCTGGAAGCAAGGCTCAGAAACGTGCTAAAATACAGTTCCTGCATGGTGGTGGCAAGGTCCTTTTCTGTGACTGCTGTGCCCCTCAGTTCCCTGCTCTGTTTACAGACCGTGAGCCCTGGCTGCTGCAAAATGCTCTTGAGAAGAGTTGTGTAAAATCCCAGACTTGTTCCCCTTAGCGAGGGAGGGGAGCCCTGTCCCAAGCAGCAGGGCTCGGGGCCATGCCGGGTGCTCGAGAGGCGCCCTGTGGGATCCCCACCTTCCGAGCGCAGGGAAGGCAAAACTGCAGCACAGCAAAAATGGGTCATCTCCCACACAGGTTTCTTGGATCCTGATCTGAGGCTGGTGGGCGACCTGCAGAGAAAAAAGGCAATTGTTCCCTGGCTGGAAGTGAGAATGAAAACATAAGTTCCTAAATTAACATGATCGCAAGAGCGGTAAATTGATCCAGTGCTGTAGTGGTTTCAGCCCCTGTGCAGCCCCTCTGCCTGTGCTGCAAACCATCTCTACCAGAATGGTGTGAAGTGGACCACAATCTCAGGAAAGCCATCCTTGGCTGTCAGTGATGTATCGCTGCTGCCTCGTACGGGGCTGGGTGCAGTGGGGCCAGCCTTGCAGAAGCTGGTGGCCCTGCAGGAGCAGCTGCCTCACACCACAGTGGGGTGGCCCCAGCCCCCTCCTCACTGCCTCCAAAGGGCTGCTTGCTGCTCTCCTTGCCAGGGAAGGTCTGTTGTACAGTCAGGAGTACTGAACAGTTTCCTGACAGTGACCATTTCTGTCTGTGACAGCTCTCGTCCAAGGATCATGTCCGCTGGAGTGGGGTCGGGATGCCTGAATGGGGACAGCTGTGTCCTGTTAGTCATTCTGCAGCCTCTGCTCTTCCTGGTGCAGCCACTCCGGGTGCTGCCTGTCACTTGCAGTTGCTGCCAGGGGTTCGGAGAATGTCTCCCTGTTCTTACCAGGGAGCTTCCTCCTGTCTCGGCTAGCCTGCCCACAGCTGGAGCCAGGCTGGAGCTGCCATGTCCCTTCCCTCAGGGTTGGGAGGGACTTGGAGGCAACAGATGATGGGGACAGGGAGAACTGGCATGTGGAGGTGCTGGGGAGCCGGCTGGTCTTGGGCGCTCCTGGAGTGCCAGCCTAGACTGGCCCTTCAGGGGAGCAGGGCTGGTCCTGGGGCACCAGGGTGCAGAAGGACCAGGCCAGCTGAGCCTGCCCCTGCAGCATCGCTGAACTCCACATGAGACGGGATGGGGTGTCCTGGGAGAAGCAAAGGCCCCTTGGGCAGACTGAGGCTGGGGCTCTTTGTGGTGTCACCCTGCAGCGGAGAAACCCATCAGTAGATTGGGGAGTGAGTCAGGCACAGGCTCCCCAGCTGGCTTCCTCGGTGTGTCTGGGGTGGGGAGGAAACAGGCTGAACTGGCTGGGACCTGTGATCTCCTCTCGGACTCCCAGGTGAGCTCCAGGTGAGCTCCCCACCTTGCAAGCAACGCCTTTACGCCCACAGTCAGCAAATGAATTAAGAGCCTGGTCTGCAGGTGACGGACGTATTCTAGATGCTGCAGCCAAACACTGCATGCTGTCTCTGCACTTGGAGAGATGAACCCCAAACTTCCCTATGTTCTCCTGGTTGGGGCTGCAGTGATAATCTTCATTCTTTCCTGCATGCTGCTGAGCAGGGGGAGGCGATCACCCAGCTGCGAATCCCAGCCCCGCATTGTGGAGAAGACAGGATCCACAAGCCAGAGCCTGGTCTTTGCCGATCTGACGCCCGAAGAGATGGTGCAAGTGGTGCGGTACCTGCAGGGAAACCTTGGGGTGCAGCTGGTTGATGCTTCGCGTGCAAAACCCTCTGACAACTGCATTGCCTCCGTTGACCTGCAGGTCCCCGCCAAGGCGGAGGTGCTGCGGTTCCTGGATGGTGGAGGGGCTCGCCCCCCCCGAGAGGCGCTGGCTGTGCTGTACTTTGGGAACCAGCCAGACCCCAATGTCACCGAGTATGTGGTGGGTCCGCTGCCGACGCCGACATATCACCGGGACGTCACGGTGCAGAAGTACAGGGGGAAGGTACCGTACCACCGCAGACCGATGCTGGGGAGTGAGTATGAGCAGGTGGGAGCATTCTTAGAGAAGGTGGCATTTGCTGCAGCCCCAACCTTTCTGAAAGAAGTCTTTGAGTACGACAGCACCAACGTGGCATTTCAGACCACAGCCCCTCACGGGTTACGGTCTGGAGACCGTAAGTCCTGGTTCGTCGTGTTTCAGAATGTGAGCGGGTTCTTTGTGCATCCAGTGGGGCTGGAGGTGCTGGTGGACCACAGCAGCCTGGACATCTCCCAGTGGGCGGTGAGCAGGGTCTTCTACAACGGGCAGTACTACAGGGACATGGTTCAGCTGGAGAGCGCCTACGTGCAGGGTCGCATCAGCGTGCAGAAGGTGAGGAAAGCGCCGCGGGATGGGGACTTCTCGTCCATGAAGCCCCGAGCACCTTCGGCTGCGCTATTCCCTTTGCAGTACGAGCCCCAGGGTCCCCGCTACAGCGTCAGGAACAACCACATCCTCTTCCAGGCCTGGAGCTTTGCCTTTGGGATGAGCGTGAACACAGGCCTGCGCCTGTTTGACGTCCGACACAAGGGGGAGAGGGTTGCCTATGAAATCAGCGTCCAAGAGGCGTTGTCGGTGTACGGCTCCAACTGCCCTGGAGGAATGTCAACGAGGTACATGGATGGGAGCTTTGGCATTGGGCGCTACACCTCCCCCTTGGTGCGAGGGGTCGACTGCCCATACTCTGCCACCTACATCGACACACACTCTCTGTGTGAGACCCTGAGGCCCAGCAAGAGAAAGGCTTCCCTCTGCATCTTTGAGCAGAATCTGGGCTCCCCTCTGAGGCGCCACTACTCCAACTTGCAGTCGTTCTACTACGGGGGGCTGGTCAACTCTGCTCTGGTCATTCGGTCCGTTGCCACTGTGGGCAACCACGACTACGTGTGGGACTTCATCTTCTACCAGAACGGGGCCATCGAAGGCAAGGTCCAGGCCACGGGGTACACGAGCTCGTCCTTTCTCCATGGGGATGGTCTGAGATACGGCAATAGGGTTTGGGAGCACACGCTGGGTACAATATGCACCCATTTCATCAACTATAAAGTGGACTTGGATGTGGGAGGTAGGTCTGGGTCTTGTCACTCCTTTGTGCCCTCCCTGAGTACTTCTAGACTCCCAAAACTTGATGGTTTTTTGTCCTTATACAGATTTTTCTTTTCACATGTGGGGTAGTATGGTGTGCTCACACAGAGCTGCCTCCCTTCTGTTTCTAGAGCAGCGAAAAGCTGTTGTGATACAGGTATAGGTTCCCCCTCTGTCCCATGCAGTTACCCCTGAGCGCCATGCAGAGCTGTGGCTTCCTGGGCTGGGTAATGCCAATTCTGCCGTGTGCCCAGCCCCGACCCTAATGGGAAGGGGTCCTTCCCCTCCTGCCTGCGCAGGCAGACCCAGCCCTGCCTTTGCCCCATCGGCCTTGATGCCTCTGGGGCTCTGCAGAAGTTGGGATTTTTCCCTCTGGCCCCCTTCCCCTGTCCTGAGCCCCAAATGATAGTTAGAGTCAATCAGGCTGGTTTGTTGGGATGTGGTTTCCAGCTTGCGTTCCTACTTCCTACAGCTTTGTCGAGCTGTTCCCACTGCTCGTGTGTGAGTGGGACAGGCAGCTGCCCTCTCCATGGGGCTGTGGGCACAGCAGGCAGATGCTGGGCAGGCAGCCAGCTCTGAGCTTATGGCTGTGCTGCATTTTGCTGGGGGTACAAGGGATCCTTAGCTCACAGCAGCAACTGGATCATTGGCTGCAGTTTTCTTAGTCTTCTCCTACCATTTATGCCACAAATCTCTCCTTGCACTCCTGCTGAAATTGCGTTTGCTGCATGCTTCTGCCATCTATTAAAAATTTTCCCATTTCCTTTTAATTGGGAGACAGAAATTTAAAGGCTGTCCATGTGGTTTTAGGATGAGTTTTGAGTGCTTAGGTAAAAATGGGGGATTGCAAAATTGCAGGAACAGGAAAAAGGCAGATGAAATCAGACTCACTGCTATTACTGGAAGGGGAGGTGTGGGGTTAGAAGTTTTGTTCACAGGAGAAAAGGGAAGAAAATGAGCACAGTGGCAGTTGTTGGGCATGGCTCCTCTTCCATGGGGCTCTGGCTCTGGTGCTGACCTTGATGGCAGCCCCAGGGCTCAGGCCCAAGATGCCGCTCAAACCTTCCAGCATGGCCAGAGCTTCAGATCTGAAATGGCCTTTACACAACCTGGAAACTTGCATGGGACTGAGGGGAGTGGAGCCCAGGAGGGTGTTATGCCATGCGCTCTGGCCAGGACAGGCAGCGGGTGATAAGCACTGGCCCCTCTGCCAGAGCTGTGCTGATGCTGGCCATCGAGCGCTCTCAGCCAGCTCTTTGCCATCTTTGTCCCTCGATTTATTTGCTCTTGTGCCCCTCCTGTTGCTCTGAGCCTCTGGCTCATGACTCCTCTTAGTGGAAAGACCTGAACTGCGCAGCACTGCTCCAGTTCTGTGATGTGCAAATGTGCTCAGAGCCGGGGCTCTTCCTAGTGCTTTCCAGCTCGCAGGATGCATGCTGATGAGCACAAACACAGTGCCTGGGCCATCAGGCGCTTGAGTTAATTAGACTGTGCTTGCACTGGGATGCAAACCTGTTCTTCTGCACTGGGATGAGGCTCCCCTCCTGTCCCTTGCAGAGGGACAGAGTCCGCATGGATAGTGATGGTGTCTGCCACAGTGTGGTGTTACCTGCGTCAGACAATCATACAGTCGTACAGCCATAGATAAACCTACACGATGTACAGTCACGGTGCAGTGGAGCTGCAGAGCAGTAACTGCTCTCATGGGCAGGAGCCAGTGCTCTGAGCCCGGAGTGCGGGAAGAGAGGATGGGGAGAGCGAGCTCTGGCTGCACTGATGTCCGTGGGGAACAGGGGACTGTGGGGACACTCCTCATTGACTTTGCTTTTGCTTCACAGGGGTGAAAAACTCCCTGGTGGCCCATGACATGGCATTTGAGATGGTGCGGGCTCCCTGGAGCCTGGAGCAGCAGATAGAGCGGCCACGACTCACCAAGAAAGTCCTGGACACGGAGGACCAGGCTGCCTTCCGGCTCCAGTCGAAGATGCCCAGATACATCTACTTCGCGGCCAACGGCAAAAACAAGTGGGGCCACCAGCGTGGTTACAGGATCCAGATCACCAGTTTTGCGGGGGACCATGTCCCCGAAGCCAGCTCCATGGAGAGGGCCATCAGCTGGGCAAGGTCAGGCTGCTCTGGCTGGGGTGGCACATTCTCAGAGACACCCCCAGCCCCGCCGGCTGGGGACGCATCTCATGGATGTTCCTTGATGGGGAGGCACAGGGCAAACACCCTCCTGGGCTGGGGTTAATACGTAGGAGCAGGCTTGTGCTCTGCAGACTCTCTGGGGAGCTGGTTTTTAGTTCTGCCCTGCCCCAGGGGGCTGCTCCCATGTCTTTTTTTGTCCTCAGGTACCAGCTGGCCGTCACCCGGCGGAAGGAGGAGGAGCCCACCAGCACCAGCATCTACAACCAGAACGACCCCTGGACGCCCACCGTTGCCTTTGCTGACTTCATCAACAATGAGACCATCACCAACGAGGTGGGCTGGGCTCCCCTGGGCTGGAGCTGTAATACCCAGCCCCAGGCTGAGCAGGAGCCCTAGGGCTGCCCCAGGGGCCGAGCGACCCCAGTTTCCCCCACAGGACAGTGGGCTCAGCTGGGAGAGCAGCAGCCCTGGGGAATGAGGAAAGCGGGTTTGAGCATCCCCTTTTCTGTGTATCTGCTTGGTGCTTTGGTCAGAGTGCAGAGCAGGAGCTCGTTTCTCCCTGTGGAGAAATGCTGGCAAAACGTCAGGAAAATCTCTGCGAGGCCAGAGCTTGGCTGCGGGGGTCAGGGCAAGGGCCCTTCCGCTGGGTGCACATCTGCAGCTGGGGCTGCAGGCAGGTCTTTGGGGAAGGGAGGGGATCTTTCCCAGGAGCAGGGAGCTTGGCGTGTGGGAATGTGGCTGGGCTGGTGCCTGTGGAGGTCCCCTCCTGCTCTCCTGTAACTTCCCATGGCCCCTGTGCAGATTTCAGTCGCTGCCACTGCAGGCTTCTGAAATAACCACAGTCTTGTGGCTCTTCCCTGCCTAGGACCTGGTTGCGTGGATAACCACTGGTTTCCTTCACATCCCGCACTCTGAGGATATTCCCAACACGGTGACAGTGGGAAACTCGGTTGGCTTTCTCCTGAGACCCTACAACTACTATGACTTGGACCCCTCCATATACTCACATGATGGCGTGTTTTTCACCAGCGAGCAAGACTTCACGGCATGTGAAATCAACCCTATTGCATGCCTGCCCAAAACTGCCTCTTGTTTGCCAAACTTCCCCCCATTCACCTTTGATGGTTTCCAAAATATAAGCAGGCTTTAACGCTACAGGACGGTGTTAGGAGACACAGTCAGAGACACCAGGTTGACTGTTCTGTCTCAGATTTTCAGTTTTTTGGTGAAGTTGTCTCAATTTCCCGTTGTGCAATGGCTTCACTTTTTATCATTGCTTTTTAAAATAGTGCTCTTTAAAAGGGAAGCATAATCTTCCTGGCATGACGCCAGATGGGAATCTACATTATCTCTGTTAATTGCTGAATTTGAGTGTTGCAGGAGGAAAGTGAGGAGAAAATCCTGTTCCTCTGCTGTAGAAGCAAGCGCTGTGTAGTGTTTATCTCAGGTTAAAAAAATGAAAATGGTTCTCTGGTCCAGTGCACTCTCGAGTGTCTCGTTCTTGCGACTTACGGCAACATCTGCTGGGGGGATGATGCTGGGTCTCTGCTGTGATTCCTGCATCCACAAACCAGCCCAGCAGCAAGGCTCTGGGCACCCATCCATGCCCAGGGATGGTCCAGCTGGAGGGCAGGAGGGATGGACTGGGGAGTCCCAGGGCTCTGGGAGGAGGACCGAGGCAGGCGCTAGCACCAAGCTCTGCGGGTGCTCAGGGTGAGGCTGGGGACAGAGCCAGGAGCCGCTTGGGCTGCAGCTCTTGGGCACTTGCCACTGGGTGCAGGTGAGGGGAGCGGAGGGGATTATTGCAGGGATGGGTCTCGCCACCCCTGTGCCAGCACCGTCCCCACAGGGGTGTCTGTGGAAATCAGCTGAACCTCGGCCCCACAGGCAGCACGTGGGCCAGCTCAGCCCCTCGCAGCCCGATGCTGGCCAGGTTCACATGAGAGCCCTCCTCCGGGCTTGGGGCAGGGTGCGGGAGCCGCGCTGCTGCTGGTGGTGCTGCATGGCCAGTGCCACTGCCCATTTGCCAGGATGCTGGGTGGGCTCTGGAGCCCTTGCCCCCTCCTCGCAGCCCTGTCTATGCTAGGACATAGCCCTTGGGGGGGTGACAAGCAGCTGTCCCCTCCCTCCCTCCTGGTTGTGGGCCTGGTGCCTTCCCACACGTGAGGTGTGGGGGCGTTGGCAGCAGCTTGTGATGCTTCGATGTCTCTGCACAAGCTGTTGAGGCATTGCTGATGATGGCAGAGCTGTGGCACGTGGGGCCGTGGTGCTGTGCTTGGTGCCGCTCCGCATGGAGGAGCGTCATCCTTGCAGTGTCTGCTGCCTGCCCAGCTTTTTTCCTCTATGGGGTTAAGAGAAGAAGGTGCAGGGAGATGCATTTATTTCCTCCAAGTGACCGGATCTGTCCTCTCCAAGGTCTGCAGGGTAGCATGTGGGACAAGAGGGGAAGGACAGATGCAGAAGCATTAAGTTTACTTAAAATTATCACCCACTGGGGAAGCAGAGCAAAGTTGCCTTTTATGGTTCCCAGCAAATCCTGAGCGTATCTGAGAACATCCCTCTGCACCCTCCCTGCAAGCTTCTCTGGACTGTTCCCTGTTGAGAAAACGGGGGAAAAAAACAAACCCAACCAAACCCAGCCCCTTCTGTCAGTGAGTCACTGGGAGGATTCTGCAGCTGGAAACCCAGCCTGCCAGACTGTGGGAACTCTCAGTGGCTCAGCAGACATGAACGTGAAAACCACGCTCATCCTCCTCGTTCTGGCTTTAGCCACAATATTTGCTTTAGTCTGTGTGTTGCTGACAAAAGGAAGGGCCCCCAGCACCTGCCAGCACCAGCCCCTGGAGCAGGAGGACACCGATGATGGCCAGAGCCTGGTCTTTGCCGATCTGACGCCCGAAGAGATGGTGCAAGTGGTGTGGTACCTGCAGGGAAACCTTGGGGTGCAGCTGGTTGATGCTTCGCGTGCAAAACCCTCTGACAACTGCATTGCCTCCGTTGACCTGCAGGTCCCCGCCAAGGCGGAGGTGCTGCGGTTCCTGGATGGTGGAGGGGCTCGCCCCCCCCGAGAGGCGCTGGCTGTGCTGTACTTTGGGAACCAGCCAGACCCCAACGTCACCGAGTATGTGGTGGGTCCGCTGCCGACACCGACATATCACCGGGACATCACGGTGCAGAAGTACAGGGGGAAGGTGCCGTACCACCGCAGACCTGTTACCAGCAAGGAGTACATGGATATCAACGCCCTCATCCAGCAGGAGCTGAGAAAGGCACCACGCTTCCTCGCCACATGCTGTGAGTCTGATGGGACCGACCTGGCTATCCTCACGACGGCCCCGCGGGGCTTCAAGTCCGGTGACCGTGCAACCTGGTTTGTCCTCTTCCACAGCGTGGCTGGCACCGGCTACTACCTCTTGCCAGTGGGGCTGGAGGTGCTGGTGGAGCACAGAGACCTCCACGTCTCCCACTGGCAGCTGCGCCAAGTCTTCTACAATGGTCAGTACTTTGCCAGCATGGGAGTTCTAGAGGAGGCATTTGTGGCCAGCTTGCTGGAAGTCGTCAGGATTCCGAAGCCCCAGGCTGAAGCAGTGCTGGGCTCGATGAGACCCCAGCGCCCACCTGGCTCCCCAGGTCCACTGCAGTATGAGCCCCAGGGTCCCCGCTATAGCATCAGGGGCAACCGTGTCACCTTCCAGGGCTGGAGCATTGCCTTTGGCATGAACCCCAACTCTGGCCCGCGACTCTTTGACATCAGGTACCGTGGGGAGAGGATTGTCTATGAGCTGAGTCTCCAGGAAGCCTTAGCCCTGTATGGCTCCAACTGCCCTGGGGGCATGTTGACCCGCTACCTTGATGGGAGCTTTGGGATCGGCAGGTTTGCCTATGAGCTTGTCCGGGGCCTCGACTGCCCCTACACAGCGACCTACATGGACCGGCACTACCTGGCAGAGTCAGAGACCCCCAAAACCAACCAAAATTCACTCTGCATTTTTGAGCATGACGCTGCCCTCCCTCTGCGGCGCCACTTCTCTGACTCGCAGTCCTTGTACTACGGAGGGCTGCGGAAAAACACGCTGGTCATCCGTGCCATCTCCACTCTCATCAACTATGACTACATCTGGGACTTCATCTTCCACAGCAGTGGGGCCGTGGAGGTCCGGGTTCATGCCACCGGCTACATCAGCTCCTCCTTCCTCCATGGCCAAGGCACTGACTACGGCAACAGGGTTGGGCCCCACACGCTGGGGACGATGCACCTCCACCACATCCACTACAAGGTGGACCTGGATGTCGACGGTAGGTCCGGGTGCCTTTGTGCATGGCTGTGGTTCACTGTGAGCTGCGGCTCTGCCCAGGGCGTGGAGCTCAAGAGGGTTTTCCCTTCTGCTTCACAGGGCAGCTGAACTCCCTGGAGACACAGGACATGGCGTACAAGATCATGAAAGAACCCTGGAGCATGCAGAACACCATTGAGCGGCTGTACCTCCGCAGGGAAAGGTTGGAGAGGGAGGATGAGGCGGCATTCCTGCTCAACACCCCCATGCCGCGCTACCTCTCCTTTGCCAGCCCCAATCCCAATAAGTGGGGACATCCGCGCAGCTACCGGATCCAGATCACCAGCTTCGCCGGGGAGCACCTGCCCGCCAGCAGTCCCATGGAGAGGTCCATCAGCTGGGGCAGGTGGGTGCCAGGGCTGGGGTACATATGGCCCCCACCCGCTCTCCTCCCACCCTGCCACCACGTCCCCGGCTGCCCCTGCCTCTCAAAGGAACAGGGGCTGCTGCCTCCCAGCAAGCCTGTGACAGGCTGCAGGGAAGGGTTAAACAGCGACCATGCATATTTTTTTGGCTCTGAAAATCCCTTGAAAAGTTGCTCAATGACATTAGTTCCACAGGCAGGAATCTGACCCCAGATAAGATTAATTTAGAGCAATCACATGTGTTTTTCCCTGTGAGGGTAACCAGGCTGTAGGACAAACTCCCAAGGGAAGCACGAGCATCCCCAGGTCTTGACATCTTCACATGAGGACAGAATGTCTTTTGGAAAATCATAGAGTCATAGAATATTTTAGGTTGGAAAAGACCTTTAAGATTATCGAGTCCAACTGTCAACCCAACAACACCATGCCCACTAAATCATGTCCTGAAATGCTTGGGATAAACACAGAAGTGGCTCACTGCCAGGGTGAAATTTAACAGCTCACATTCTGGGGGAGGCTGTAGGAGTTAAAAGCGGCTGTGGCTGAAGTGAGCATGCTGGGCAGTGAGCAGCAGCATCTGTGCCTGGACGTGTTTGTGTTTCCCGGCCATGCTGGAGCAGCCGCAGGCAGTGAGCGATCCCCTGTGAGCCTGAAGGCTCCAGGGCTGCTGCCTGTTACTGCCACAATGGTCCCTGCCAGCCCCTTCCCTGCCTGACCCAGGACAGGCCAGGTCCCCCAGCACGCACCAGGGATGCATCCAGCCCCAGTTTGCCAGTGCATCCCCAGGTGGCAATGCCATGACCGCCCTGCCCCGCGCTGGCACGGACGAGCCCCTCTGCTCTCTGTGCTGGCAGGTACCAGCTGGCCGTCACCCGGCGGAAGGAGGAGGAGCCCACCAGCACCAGCATCTACAACCAGAACGACCCCTGGACGCCCACCGTTGCCTTCACTGACTTCATCAACAACGAGACCATCACCAACGAGGTGAGCCGGGCTCCCCTGGGTGGAGGGGAGCTGAATGCCACGGGTACCACGCTGGCTCCTGCCCCAGCCAGAGGCTTCACCCATCCTGTGGCCAAACCGGGCGGCTGCCAGGCTGGAAAGGTCCTGCTCAGCCTGACAGGGTGCCTGGCTCCCCTCCTGCCCAGGACCTGGTCGCCTGGATCTCTGTGGGGTTCCTGCACGTCCCCCATGCTGAAGATGTCCCCAATACGGTGACCGTGGGGAACAGTGTTGGCTTTTTCCTGAGGCCCTACAACTACTTCGATGAGGACCCCTCGGTGGACTCGCCCGACAGCATCTATTTCAGCAGCGAGCAGGATGCCGGGGCATGCAGGGCCAACCCCCTCGCCTGCCTGCCCCCCGCCGCTGCTTGCGCCCCCCACCTGCCCCCCTTCCGCTACGGGGGCTTCCTCAACCTCAGCCTGGCGCTGCCACCCGGTGGGCTCTGACGGGGACAGGGCTGCCACTGCCCCCGTCCCCGCCGGTGCGGGCAGTCTGTGTCCACCCATTGAGTGCGTATTTGGAGGGGCTCTGCAGCCACACCAGGACCTGCCCTCCTCATGCCTGGGACGTCTCGTGCTCAGGGTCAGGTTTTCAAAGGAGCTCAGCTCTCGTTTCAGCACTGCAATGCTGCCGAAGGCGGACTCAAAGCCTCTGAAAAACAGCCCCTAGGAGTGATTTTTGGAGTCTCCATCAGGATGCTACCCAAAATGCTGTGGGCACGCCACAGCCGCTCTCGTCCTCTGGGACCAGGGCTCCCGCTGCCTCCCCAAGGTAGGTCAGTGCACGCAAGGCGATGGTGCCGGCCAGGGCTAAGCGCTACACAAAGCCGCAGCTCCCCTTGGAGCCATGGTCCATGCCAAGGTTTTGCCCAGGCTGGCAGGAGCAGGCAGCATGGTGGCTGCTGTGGCCCCGCTGCATCCCAGGGGCATTGGGCCATGAGGAGCCAGCAGCTCCAGGATGCCTGAAACATCCACCCCAGCCCTGTGGCCGCTGCAGCTCCAGGGCTGCTGAGGCCCAGGCGATGCTGAGCTCTGGCTGCTGCAGTGGTGCCAAGCTCTGGGGACGGGGACAGGGACAGCGTACTGGGCTGCACTGGGAGCCTGCAGGAGACACTGCAGGGCAGCGGAACAGGCACTCCCTGGGCTGAGCTGCCCCTTGTCTGCCCTTCCCCAATAAAGAGGCACTCAGGTGCTTTTTCTGACCAAGATGTTGTGTAGCTCGTGAGTGCTGCTGCCGCTCCTGCGGTTGGTGGCCAGAGCCCCTGCACTGTTGATGCTGCGGGCGCTGGTGCCCTGTAACGGACGGTCCTGGCTCAGCTCTGTGGTACTCACGGGGGTCCAAGGGACTGGTACAGCAGCCAGCACAGCTGCGCAAGCGTGCAGCAGCTGTGCTTTTGGACCCCGGGGGCTGGCAGGAGGCTCCTGCCGGGGAATATGGGACAAACAAGGGAGTTAATGTATAACGGCTGTACTGAGCCGCATTAATCAGTTCTGGCCTTGGCTGCTGCCCAGCACGCTCAGCCCCACCGCCACAGGGACCCTTGCTCCCACACCCCCAGCTGCGTGCACAGCCCTGGGCTGCAGGATCCCGCAGCCTCCGGAGCCCATTCCCACTGTGCCAGGCTGGGCTTGGGGACACTGAGGAGCTTGGTGAGGACAGTTCAGCTCCAGCCTCACAGCCCGGCCTTGGCACGTGGCTGCAGATGCCAAGCGCTGGCCAACATATCCCCAAGGGCATGGTGGGCATCCATCCCTTCTGACCCCTCGCCTGGGTGCTGGGTCTGCCAGTGCAGGGAAGGGATGTTGGGCAGGAGTAGGCAGCTTGGGGGCATGGCTCAGTGTGAGGCTGCAGTGGTCCCGGGGTGCCCTGGGGTGCCAGGAGGGGCCCTGCCACAAAGGCATCTCCCGGGGCTCTGGGGGAGCAGGTGGGATGCTTCCTGCAAGGCGAAGGTCACAGCAAGCCAGCTCCCTGCCTGCCGCTGTTTGCCCACGTGTTTGCGAGTGCTGCCTGGACTCTGGCCGTGTGCTGACGCAGGTGAGACCAGATGTGCTTCCATGCTGGCAGTGACCCAGCTCGCTGCCCACTGCCTGTCCCCAGACCTTGCAGCAGGCTGGGAACTTTCTGGATGAAACATTGGCACCATGTGTGGCACATTACGTTACAGCACCTATGTGCGCTGCGCCTCTTGCAGCTGCATCTGGTGCCTTGGAGTTGCAGGGACACCATGTCCTGGAGCCAGCCACTGCCACTGCAGGAACACAGCTCCTGGGCTGCCAGCTGATCCTGGGCTCATTGCACACAGACCCCAGTGCAGAAATAAAGCGCCCCCAGCCTGGCCCCATTCCCCCCCTGGGAAAGCCACCCTGGTCAGTTTGCAATGCACATCGCTGGCTAGCAGGGCTGCCAGCGTGCCTGCCCAGTGCAAGGGACGAGCAAGAGACTGGCATGGCGCTCCCAGAACCAATGGCCAAACCAGCCAGGATGCAAAACCCCAGGTGCCATCGGCAGCACAGCTCCATCGGCAGCGCTTCATGTGCTCCAGCCCTCACTGTGCTGGGAAGGAGGAGGTGGCTGCTCCCGTCCCGTTTCCCAGCCTCTCCCTGCTGCGGCCCCAGTTTTACTGCAGTGACCCTTTCCAAGGGGACTGGAGCATGCTAGTCCCCATCCCCCAACACCTTTTGCCCCCATTTTCTGCTATGAAATCTCTCAGGGAGAATTTATTGCTGACTGTTTCAAAACATTTTCAATGCAGAAGCCAAGTCTGTTGCATTCCTTCACGCTGGCCAAAGCCACTCTCTGTTAAGGACCCTAGAATGAGCTGTTGGGGAATTTGTTTTGCAAGATTAATTCCATTTCTGTGCAAACTTCTGCTTTGTTGGGGTTTTTTTGTAGGTTGGGAGCTCAGTCTGGAGGCTGGAGCAGCTGCGTCCATGTCCCCTGGCCTCAGTGAGCCCGGGCTGGGAGGGACAGGGAGGAGCAGCCTCGGGCAGGGATGCGCCTGCGGCCGGGGCTGATCCTGCAGCATTTGCACAGTTTCTCTCTCGGGCACTCAACTTTCCTCTCCTTCACGTGAATTTCCAGTTCACTGATGGCAGCTGGGAAATTTTTGCTCGGCAGGACTGGCGTGAGCCCCTTAGTGCTGCCTCCCCGCCCCGTGCATAGCCCTGGCCACCCTGGAACTCCCCTAGCCCTGCTCCCCAGCACAGTGAGGCTGCTCTGGCTGCGCTCTGTCCCTGGGAACAGGGTTGGATCAGGCCAGCCTGGGCCAAGGATGCTGAGAGCAGGGTCAGGCTTTGGCTCTGCCCACATTTCCCTTTGCCCAGGAGCGTCAGCCCTGGTGTGAAGCGAGGATGCCGGGAGGGATCCCAGCTGCTGCCACCCGACAGGCAGGTCCTTGAGGCCAAGGACAAGCTGCCTGCAGAGCACAGGCATCACTGGTCTGCAACTGCAGATCTGCCCTGGCAGTCCCAGCCTTGCAAGGCAGATTGAGGCAGAGCTCTAATCATCCAACTGCCTTCAGAGCACAGGCATTTGCGAATATGGTCCCTTTTCCTCAGCCTGGCAGCTCCAAGAGCGGTCTGTGCCTGTATCCCAGGGAGGAAGGTTTGCTGTGTTCGCCTGTTAGATCCTGTGGTTCCCCAGATGTTGTGCAGGCAAGAGCGCAGGATGCTGCGCAGAGCCCCCTCTTTGCAGGCAGGACTCCCCACTGGACACAACCTCTGCCTGCCCTGCACCAGCAAACGGCACATGGGCAGTTCAAGGATCTTGACCTGAACTTTCTCGAGGAGAGAGATAAGTGATGCATTTTCACTGGCTGCTAATCATTAACGCCTCGTTGCCTGTTCCCCCATGAAAGGGCAGCTGCCTGTTTTGCTGCAGCGGGCTCTGGCTGGGCAAGTCGCTCCACTGCCATGGGGCTGCGTGTCTCTGCGTCAGCAGCCATGATGGCCGGCCAGAGCTGGGGAAGGAGGTTTCTCCTGCCAGGCTGACCCTGTGTCCTCAGGCTCCTGGAAATAGCTCTCCATGTTACTCATTCACCGTTACCTCCTGGGGACGAACAGGAGGATAAAGCTGCGGTGCCGGCACTGCTGCCAGCAACAGCGTGGTGTGGCTGGGGTGGGGAAAGGCCACAGGCAGGGACCTGGCACCGGCTGGATGAGTGGTGTGTTCGGCTCTGTCCCGGAGCTGGGGTCTGACAGGGCAGTTTTGTGCAGGAGAGGGTTAAACCAGGGGAGCTGTGCTGGGAGGAATGCCTTCCCTCACTGGGAATGTCATTTGCAAAGGTCCTTTAACCCCACACCAGAGATCAGAAAAACATCGATGGCAGCCAGGAGCTCCCCAAGCCTCACTGTCTGAGGCTGCAGGGAGCTCCAGAAATGACTTGGAAAGTTTTCCATTATGCAGAGTCCTCATTAAATCAGCCTGGCAAACACCATGGCAGAGAGGTGTTTTTTCATCAGCTGGAGGTTTCAGCTGACGAGGGAGTGGTGGACAGCCTGCCCCCCACGCCATGCACCACCCAGTCCATGCTCCCGGGCATCCCTGCGATGCTCCAGTGGTGCTTGGGGTGATGACAGAGGGATGGAAGAAATGTCACAGTTTGGGGCTGCGGCAGCTCTGCAGTGCTGTTCATGCAGAGTGTGGGTGCTTGAATCTCCTCCCTCATAACAGAGCAAACACAGGTTCAGTAGGAGCAGCTGAACTGTTGTGTTGGGCAGCAGGAAGAGCAGGGGCTGCAGGATCCCCCCCGAGTGAGGCAGCTGCCCACATGCTGGACCGTGCGGGGAAGGGTTAAGGTGCTGGTGCCGGAGCACCCCACGGTCCATGCGCCCTCGCCCTCAAAGCCTGTTTTTCCCTTTTACGTAAGTTGTTCCAAACATGTTTGTAACAACCCCCCGGTGATGCACCTTTGGCAAAAGTGGTTTTGGGTCCAAAGATCAGTGCTGGGACAAGCGACCTGCCCGCGGCAAACAAGAGCCCACAGAGTATAAAACCCCAGCGGCACAGTGGAGCGTGGGACAGCCTGAGCTGCGCTGAAGGGCAGTGGCTGCAGAGGAAGATGGAGGCTGGCATGAACCTCCTGCACGACATGGGCATCCAGGCAACACACTGGCTGCAGGAACATTTCCAGGGCTCCCAGGACTGGTTCCTCTTCATCTCCTTTGCTGCCGACCTCAGGAACACTTTCTTCGTCCTCTTCCCTATCTGGTTCCACTTCAGCAAGTCAGTAGGCATCAGGCTCATCTGGGTGGCCGTGATCGGTGACTGGCTCAACCTCGTCTTCAAGTGGTGAGTGGCCCTGCGCCACGGCTCCCTCTGGGCATGTTGGCACAGCTGGACTGATGCAGGCCAGATGTGCACTCTCAACCTTGACACTGGTGTAAAACAAAGACCAGAGTTTGGCCCCCAGCTTGCCAGTGGTAACAGTCACTCCTTCCTGAACCGTGCAGCAGCGGGTCTCCCCACTTCCCAGAAGCCAGGCAGAGAGATGGACCCTCCTGCAAACAGACCCCTTTGCTGTCAGCTGGGGCTGCAGTTCTGCGTGGGGGCTGCATGGAGCCCCTCACCACGGGAGGCCACTGGGATGGCCTGGCACGGCTCTGATATGCGGGATCAGGGCTTGGTGCTCCCCTGATCTTTTAGGCAAGCATTTCCCATGGGTAAGCCAGGACACTGATATCCCCTTCCTTTCCACAGCTGATAACGCTGATGCAAAGTCATGGTAGGGAGCACACGAGGAACCCAGCCACTGCTCCAGATGGCCTTGTCAGCAGTGTCAATTGTACCATGAGGCCGATCCATGCTGGCATCACGGCCCGGCAGGGTTCGGTGTCAGCTGGTAGCCGTGGGTGCCGTCCCTGTGGGTGGTGGGCTGTGGTACCAGCGGCTGCAGGGGCAGTGGACCAGCACAGTGCCATCCCTGCCACTGCGGTTCAGCGTCCCAAGGTTTTGGGGCTGCATGCACCCATGTGCGTGGCCTGTGCCCCACATCCCTGCGGCAGGACCCAGCAGCGTGGTAGGGGGTTTGTGCTGGCTGCCCCGGCTCTGCGTCTGCCCCACAGCTCGAATAACCCGGGATGCTCACGCTGCCTGCACGTGTGACAGGGGCGGGTGGCCTCTGCCTCTGATGCCACCATGAGACAGTTGCTCTTGGCCTGAAAAAGACTTAGAGGGAGCAGACACTGCTCCTCTTTCTCAGCGTGTTGACTTGCTCCCAGGAAGTTCTTGCTCTTTCCCTTCAGGGCCCAGGGATGGGGATACGGACAGGCAGTGCCGGCTGTTGGGACCAAGCGACCAGCTGGATGCTGTGTCTGTCAGGATGCCCTGGATGGCTCATGGGTCCTTTGCCTCTTCCAGCTCCTGGGCCAGAGCAGAAACCGCAGTGGTGCCCACCTGTTCTAGTGCCCAGGACCCCTAGAGCCCCCGTTCTCCTTTCTTTTCAGGATCCTCTTTGGGGAGAGACCATACTGGTGGGTCCATGAGACGGACTATTACAGCAACACCTCCGCCCCAGAGATCCAGCAGTTTCCACTCACCTGCGAGACCGGCCCTGGTAGGGACCCCCAGCCCTGGCAGAGGCAGCAGGCACTTGCCCGGGGGACCTGCACACGCAGCTCCCCACTCTGGGTCTTGGTCCCCGCAGGGAGGAGGGTGCTGCCATGGCTGGGGCTGCGGTTGGCAGCCCACCAGCGGCACATACCCCTAGCTAGCTCTTGAGAGAGGGCTGTTATCACTGAGCCACAGCATTGGCCCCCACCTCAGTCCCTGGGGATGCTGGCTGTGCCTGCAGCAGGTGGAGGCAGGGCAGCCCCTGCACGGAGCAGACCTTGACCCTCGGCACAGACGTGGCGGTTCAGCACAAACCTCTGCCTGTGCTCGGCCACAGCCTTGGCCCTTGCCGGCGCTGTGCTCTGCCCTTCAGCCCCAAATGTGGGCAGCTGCTCCATGGGGAAGGGGCTTGCCTGGTTCCAGAGCAGCCCTGTCTGTACTTTGCCTGGGGGTTTCTACCGGAGCCAGGGAAGGGCTTCAGGTGTTCCTGGCACACTCAGCACAAGCCATCGGGAATGGTCAGCGCCCTCTGCCCAGTCTTGCCTGGCAGATGGGCTGCGGAGCCAGAGCCATGCTCCCACGCTGCCCCTGCTGTGCTGTCTCCTGCTCCAGCCTTGCCTGCACCTAGGGATGGAACTGGGCGCCTGCCATAGAGGTGGCACCACAGCCGCTGGGGGACAGGTGCTGGGTGCAGTGCCACCCAGTGCCGCAGCCCCTGGAGCCTGGGCTGCTGCCTGGGAGCCCCCCAGGCATGAGGGCACAGCCTGCTCTGAAGGAGAGTCTGACCTGGGTCTCTCTTCTTGCCCAGGGAGCCCCTCCGGCCATGCCATGGGCGCAGCAGGTGTGTACTATGTCATGGTGACAGCCCTGCTCTCCACTGCCATGGGGAAGAAGCAGTTGAGGACGCTCAAATACTGGTAAGCTGTTTGCCAAAATCACCTGTGCTGGGCAGAGGGTGCTCCAGAGCCAATAGGCTTGCAGCTGAGCCCATTGAGGACAAGGCCGTGGGCAGACAGCCGGGCCATGGCACCCCAGGCGGGGTGTGCACCAGGACGTGCTTGGTGGGCAGCCAGGCACTGCTCAGGGTGCAACCGCAGCACTCCAGGCAGTGAGAGCTGGCCCTGGCACTGAAGTGGCCGCCTGCCCCTTGCAGGGTGCTGTGGATGGTGCTTTGGACAGGGTTCTGGGCAGTTCAGGTCTGCGTCTGCCTGTCCCGAGTCTTCATTGCTGCCCACTTCCCCCATCAGGTCATTGCGGGGGTCATTTCAGGTGAGTGCATCAAACCCCAGTCCCCTTCCCCACAGCACCGCCGTGCTGGTCCGCAGCACCGGCCAGGAAGAGTGCACAGCCTGACAGATGTGTGCGGGGTTGTGACAGAAAGCTGTGTCAGTGGCTCTGCAGTTACTGCCCTCATCGTCACGGGCAGGATGCCCACCAGGACATGCCTTTGTCCCTATCCCATTTGAGGCATGAGTCCCAGGCAGGCAGGGCGCTGCCAGCCACTGCTGGGTTCTGGGGGACAGTGAATGTGGCCCAAAGGCACAGGCAGGGCAGGCCTGGGGTGTGGAAGGGTTATCACTGGGCAACAGAGCAGAATCAGTTGTCTGTGAGCAACAGGGCACAGTGGTGGCCGTCGGGGCAGTCAGCACTACATGGGAGCAACTGGGCAGCCCCCAGCACGTCCCCCGCCAGAGCACCCAGGGCTGTGGGATCTGCTCGGCTCCACTGCCCTGAGGCAGGTAATCACTCACTGATCAGCACCGCCTCCTCTCCTGCTTCATTACTGGCAGGGATGGCTGTGGCCAAAACTTTCCAGCACGTCCGCTGCATCTACCATGCCAGCCTCCGCCGGTACCTGGGCATCACCTTCTTCCTCTTCAGCTTTGCCCTGGGCTTCTACCTCCTGCTGCGGGTGCTCGGCGTGGACCTGCTCTGGACGCTGGAGAAGGCGCAGAGGTGGTGCGCCCACCCCGAGTGGGTCCACATCGACACCACCCCCTTCGCCAGCCTCCTCCGTAACCTGGGCATCCTCTTTGGGCTGGGGCTGGCCCTCAACTCCCACATGTACCTGGAGAGCTGCCGGGGGAAGCAGGGCCAGCAGCTGCCCTTCCGCCTGGGCTGCATCGCCACCTCCCTCCTCGTCCTACACCTCTTCGACGCCTTCAAGCCGCCCTCCCACATGCAGCTGCTCTTCTACGTCCTCTCCTTCTGCAAGAGCGCAGCTGTGCCACTGGCCACTGTCAGCCTCATCCCCTACTGCATCTCCCATCTCCGGGCCACTCAGGACAAGAAGGCTGTCTAGGGGCGTCCGTGCAGGTAATGGTGTGCCTGGGCAGGCGGCCCCCCCAGCTCTGGGCTCGGGGGCAGTCACTGGACCACGGGTGCACCCCAGCCACAGTTTGCTCCCCGCTAAATCTGCACAGACTGACTCCACACTGGGAGCAGACTGCGAAGGCCGGGCTGGCTGTGCTGCCAGATGGCTCCCGTGGCGTGGACCCACAGTGCTGGTCATGCTGTAAGGTCGGGTGGTCTGTGGCCAGCCGATGGCACAGTGAGCCCTGTGCTCCCAGGGCTCTCCTGCCACCCTTCCCGCATCCACGGGTGGGGTTCATCAGCCAGGGACCTGGTGGCAGCAGAGGGAAGACCCTGCAGTCCCCTGCAGCTCATGGGGATGCACCACCTCCATGCTGCAGGGCTGGGGACGGCAGCACTGGAAGCAGGGTGCTCACCCATGGGTGCTCGGGGTCTGCTGGCGAGGCAGCTCTGTTACAGCAATGGGCAGATACTGTGATTTGGAGGTAAAGCACCGTCTTGCGGGAGCTCCACCCCAGTCCTGAGGTGTTCAGTATTCACTGCTGTGTGAAGTGGCATGGTGTACACATCTGCATATGTGTGTACACATACATAATGCATAGCTATAAACACATATACATATGGGTGTATCTGTAAACAAGGTATTTATTAAACCTGAAGGTGTGTTTAGCTGGTGAGTTCGGACATCTCGCTGGCCAGTGAGGCGGGATGGGGGATTGGCTCCCATGTGCAGGGACTGCGGCGGAGGCTGCTGGTGGTGTTGAAGGAAGGACATCTCCCATGGGGTCCTGCTCCTACCATCACCTGCAAGGCATGGGCATACTACTGGGAAAGGCAGCACCAGGCTCCCCCAGTCCCCATCACCTTTCACCCTTAAGTGCAGTTGGACATGGCCAGGACAGCGCAGGGGGATGAGCTGCTTTTTGCGCTGTTTATCCAGGGTTTCTGGGTGCACCTTGTGCCAGGAACAGGGACACACTCGCATCACCTCGCTGGTTACGGAAACAAGCACAGCTTTGAGACCAACCAGCTCGGCTGGGGCTGTGCTGAGCCCCCAGGCTGCGGGGACAGAGCTGCCATTTGGCTGCTGGCTGCATTGCGGGGTCAGGGCCCAGTGGTCAGTGCTGGCTTGGCCTCCCGGCACTGCTCGCCTGAACGCCGGGTCTGCCCGGGGCGCAGGAAGCGGCTGCGTCAACATGGGGTCAAGCTGCTTCGCTGCTGCCGGCTCGGCGGACACGTCCCTGCCTCGGCGCCGTGCTCGTTAGCAGGAAGCCGGCTGTGGGCTCGCCCTGCTGACTTCAAAGCTGTACAGGCTGTACAGCCTGCCAATTAACTCAGTTAGTAAACATCCTCTCTCAGTCTGAGATATAGTTTAAAATAGATATGAAGATACAGATACTTTCTTCCTGCCAGACTCTACATGTGCATGTGCATATCTCCCCCAAAACACCAGTTCCTGCAGCATTTACCCCATACCCAGCTATAAGCATCAGCAGTGTTCTCTGCTGTGGTGCATCTGAGAAATGCCATCTCCCCTGCCCAGATCTTGCAATGCCTTCGGGAGATGGTGTCCAGCAGAGCCATGGTAATGTCCCTTGTCTTGCTGTGGTTTGCATGGCCTTTACCACATGTGGCAGCAGAGTGTGAGGCTTTGCAGCCTTTCCCAGCCATCTGATGGGAGCCCTCCGGCTGCCAAAACACTGAGAGCCATCAGGTGAGAGAGCACCTCCCTTCTGACCAAACTGCACGTCAGCAGAACCCCATGCTAAAACCCATCCACGCTAGAATGTCTTCCACGGCAAAGTTCGCTATAAAGCTTGCTCAGTACAGAGCTCTGCTGTGGACCTAATTCTTTGTAGAAAGTTTACCTAGATGCACACGCATGTGTGTGCGCACACACAGAGACACCCCCCACCCCCACCCCCCGCCAAGTTTCCTCCAGCTGGGGAGTGGGCAGGCTTGGCCTAGTGGTTATTCCAACCAGGAAGGATCAGGATGGGGCAGCCAGACCCCGCGGAGGCCAGCGCAGGAGGCTCCTCTCCGGGAGCCTGCTGTGTGCAGTGGGAACAAGGGCTGCTGGTCCCCCCCGCAGCGGAGTCCCCACAGGCGCTGATGGGTGCCGCAGTCGTGACCCTGCGCCTGCTGCTCACCAACAGCTGGCAAAGGTCTCTCGGCTGAATGGTACCTGCATCACCCGTGTATGGAAACACTGTGTGCTGGGGCTGCTATCCTCTGTGTTCATGATAGATAAACCTCCTTAGGATAGAGGTTTCTTTTCTTCTATTTCTCGGTTTATTACCAACATCTGGACCAAACATGTCATGCCATTTCCAGCAAGAAGGGGAAAAATAATTCCCAAATTACCTGCCGTGCTTTTTCACACCGTGACTCCACAGCGCCCTTTAGTTTCTGCAGCTGAGATTGCAACAGCTCCCGGACCCACCCTGGCAGAAAAGGCAAGCTGAAGAACAGTGGGGAGTAGCTCTGCCTGATCCCAAGGGAGTTTACACCTGCATTAGCAGGAGAAACTGCTGATGTTCAAAAATGGACCAGTAACAACTGCACCCCAACAAGGGAAAGGACTGATACACCTGTGGGGCACCCATTCCCCCTTCCAGCTGCTCTCTGCCCCAGCTGATTCCAGACTGTATCCTTTGCTGTGCTTGATCAAGCCTGAGGAAAGCTTGCCACTATCCAGGCCAAGATGTCAGGTGGGGAACAGCTTCCTTTTGCTGAACATTCGTGATGATACTCACTCGTAAATGAGTTTGGTTGCTGGAGACTCCCAAACTCGGGTACTGTTCTTGCGATGGGACATCAAGAGGAGGACGGGAACTGACAGAGCTGCAGAGGGATGGGAGATGAGAGTGGGGATGATTGTGACCTTGCTCTTCTCTTTGAGAGCTGCCCTGCTGGAGGACAGCTCAGGGCTCAGTTCCTCTGCCATTACCCCACAGCAAAGTCCAGGTGTAAGAGTACTGTAGTGGACCAGGAAGACGCCTTCCCGGTAGTGGCGAAGACAAGGCACTACCAGCACAGCCTGGTGCCCATGTACCCATGCACAGAAAGCTGCTGTCTTTACTTAGGGGACTCCAGAAACAGCTGCTGTTCCGAAGGCAAATGCTCAGGAGCTCTAGGCATGAGCTTGGACAATGTCACATTTTGCAGACTAGCACGGAAAGCAGCAGGAGTCAGCTGTATGCCAAGACCCAATCTGTCACTGACAGTCATAACTGTACAACCTAGCTGGCCTCGTTCAGAATAATGCTCGGGCCAGATGACTGCTTTTCTGTAGAGCTATTTCTTATCATGTAAAAGAGCCAAACAAGATACTATTGCAGAGGCAGGGGAAAGGCCACTGCTGGGCAGAAGAGAATGGTAATGAAAGCTCAAGATTGTGGCAACAGAAGTGAAAGAAGTGTTCAGGCACACACCTACAAGAAATGCCCAATGTACAGCTCAGACAAATGATTTTAATATGGTTTTGTCTGCCTGCAAAACAAAGCACTAGGTGGCTGCTTCTATCTGCCTTTAATTCTCATATACAGAGTCAGCATGTGTGTGTTAACATTGTTCTGCCAGGCCAACTACAAATGGATGAAATTCCCTTTTGCAGTAACGTACTTGATGCTACCGCAGCGGAGCTTTGGGACTGCAGCGATGAAGCCGGTGTTACCCGACAGCTGCTCCCATCAATGTCACAGCTGGGTCAATAGCAATTGCTGCCCGAGGGAACCACCAAGTCCAGAGGTCAGCAGCAGCCCTGCGTGCTGGCCAGCAGTGAGGGGCCCTGGCAATGGCATTAGCGCAAACATCTTCAGACCTCCAGCATCTACAGATTTCTGAGTAGTCAGGAAAAAAGGTCAGATCTTTTTTTTTAAAAAAAGGGCTCACAGAGACTTGTCCTTTGGTGCACCCTCCTTTCCTTGCTCACAGGCTTGAGAACAGCATCTTGTCTTCTTGCCTCCCCATTCTACCTCAGGCAGCCATAACTGGTGACCAGCGTAGTTTGGTCTTTTAAGGGGGATTTACTGATCTGAGCATCCTTCCAATTCCTGCCACATTTCATTCCTTCTCCTCCCTACAAAATTTCAGCAGCAAAAGCTTGATTCATTTTCTCTGCACTTGTTGGCAAACATCATACTCAAACCCTCTGCTTCTTACCAGTATTCTGATTTTTTAAAATGCATCCAGCTTATTATAAATAAATATGCTCACAAATCAATTACTCCCCAGCAACTGGTACAAAGTAAAAAGCCACAGCGTACTGAAAATAGGAGGGCCCCTCTCTTGGTTTTAGGAAGCCTACAAAATGGTTAAATAATGACTACTTTTAGAATGTGTACCATTTGCCTGGGGAAATGAAAGAACCCTTGCAGCAAAGTGTGGACAGCAGATCCCCTCCCCCAACTTTGCATGAGCACCAAATCGGCTCACACAGAGCATATGCACACCAGCTGTTGTTTTTATGTCTTTATTCTCTGGAAGAGAAGTTAGTGGAGCTTATGCAAAGCAGGGAAGACAACCCTACTTTGAGCACTGTTTCTTATGCTTCAGGGCTTCGACGGCTGATGAATTCCTGGAGCAGAGCTTGCACTTCTCCTCGCTGACTCATCTTGGTTGCCTTGCCCTGAAAGCGGCCTCGCTTCCCAGCTCCTTTGCCTCCCAGCAGCTCTGCCACCCTGCAGTAACAACAGTACAGGCTGAAGGACACTTACTCGCAGAGAAGAGAGTGACCTGGCGTAACCTGGTCTAGTGGAAGGTGCCCCTTGGCAGGAGGGTTGGAAGTAGGTGATCTTTAAGGTCACTTCCAACTCAAACCATTCTATGATTCTATGAATGTGCTCCAGAGAGCAAACAAGGATCCATGCCCTAATTATACTGCTCAGCTGCTTAGTCTGCAACATTAGAATTCTTACTAATTTTAAAGAAACCATAGAACATGTTACCTGGGACCTAAATTCTCAACTGCTTCAACAGGTCCAGCTAGAAGAAAGAGTCCTGCTTCTTTTTCATCTCCCACAGTCAGGAACAGCAGGGTTTCCTGTGGACAGAGAGATGGACCTTGTTCCAGAATAACCAGTGCCTTCTTTGTCTGGGAAGAGGACAGAGACGCTGGCCACAGGACCCATCCAAGCATGCAAACAATTCAGAAGTTTTTGTGCGTTACTGAGACAGAGACTCAATCTGAAGAAAGTAAAAGGGACAGGGGCTTTTGAACCTTTTATGCTCAACCATATATTGGGAGGGACAGAATGGGTACTGGGGTATCCTAAGTTAAAAGGATATGGTTGGCAGTTGCACTAGATGATTGTTGTAGGTTTCTTCCAACTGAAATAGTCTAGTCTAGTCTATTCTGTTCTAAAACAGCTGATGAGGTTCCGTACAGCTCTTTGAGGGACAGGCTCTTCTACAGCGCTCTGAATTTTCACTGTTGTATTTGCTGACTGTTGAGCTTTCTCCTGCAGACTGAGGCTGCTGGGGACAATAACCTCATGTAACTTTTAAAAGGAAACAGACCTGTACCTTGTGACTATGGTACAAACAGAAGCTGAGCCCTGCCTGTGCTACAGCTTGAATGAAGAAGCCAGTGGTGTCAGGTTAGTCTTCATCAGTGACTCACCTCTGATCCAATCTCATTAGCGATGATATTCATAAATTCAGAGTCACCCTCTTTCCTGTATGAATGGGTAAAAACAACACTTCATAAAGAAGCAAAAATCCCCTCTAGAGTCCAAAACATCAATCAGAAACCAAAAGCCTGATCAGGCCTGGGGTTTTGGCCTCTTGCTGTGAGGATGCAGATTAGGTTTTTTCTATATATCTAAATCGTCATTGCACATTCCTGTGGACATATTAGAAATTATTTAAGTGTTTATCTTTAAGAAATAGAGCTCCTTAGTTTTATTTGAAAATATCAAGGGCAGAGAGAAATCAGATAGACACAGTTATTTCTTAGCTATAAAACCAGAAGAATTCAGTGACTGAATTACTAACTCATTCCTTTAATTACACAACCTTCCAGCAGGGTGAGACAGTTTAATATTCTATTCACCTTGTTCACATTCTTCCTTGAGAAACAAGCCTGAACAGGTGTCAGAGAGGTGCAACTGCCATAAAATGTGTAAGATACCATTTTACCCTTTTCCCTGAACTCCCACATACCTGTGTAACACGAACAGCTGACTTTGAACAGGTTTGCTCTTGAAGTCCCGGGCTATCAAAACAGCAATGTCTCTAAGCAGGTTCAAGTTATTCTGAAAGAAAAGCAAATAAATTGTACTGCAGATGGAGAAGTCAGTGTGAACACTGAGTTGAGTTCCCAGAGATGGGAGCAGTTTTCATAATATCAACAAAAACTGATGTCTACGATTCAATTCCCAGTTATCATGACTAAAGCGCAAGTCTACAGGAAGCAGCCGCCATCTGCTTTTCTCAGCCATCCTCATACCTTCTGAAGCAGTTTCACAGAACTCTGCAGTCTCTTCACAGCCTCTATGTGCTCACCTGGTCCATTTCTGAAAGAAAAAGGAGAATTTGGATCGCCACTCTGGAGGACAAAGAAAGGATTTCTTAAAGGAGCAAAAGCAAGTAACATCATAAAAACCACCGCATAGATGTACCCGAAGTCCTATATGGTATGTGTCAGACGGAATAGTAAAGATGAAATAATCAAAGTGGAAAGGGTATTACTTGAGCAGTGACGTTAGAGCCTTCTCAGTACTGTGACTTTGTTCAATTGACTTCAGCACTCTGTTTCCTGCCAGGAAAACCAAGTTGGTTTTGTTCTTTTTCCCTTTTTCTGTGCCAAGGAGTTTAATAACCTTAAAAAGAAAATCACCCTGGTCAGAAAAGAACTGTACTTTGCTTATACTCACACAGGTGGTCAGTTCCTACTAGACTATGCCTTGTTGTGCATATTGGCTCTCTGCCAGTGAAAATAAACCAATTAAAATCAGCCATAAGATCAACATACGCACACAAAAAAAGGATGGCAATACAGTGGAATTAATACAATTTGCTAGTCATTGGCTGCACTCTGCAGTGTATCTGGACGTCTCTGCTGGGATACAGACTCCAACAAACGACTGAAAAGACAGAAGCACTTAAAGGCAGCTCTAGAATTTTATCTCCACCTCTCTGCACAGAGGATTTCTCATTCATGACAAACACTCAAAAATATCAGAGCTTTAAGCAGAGGGAACAAATGGCTAGCAACCCAGCAATGCACCGCCAAACTGGCAATATACCATATGCCCTCCACAGAGGCATTGGCAGTTCAGAAAATATCATCACTACAGACAAGGGCTGAGTTCCGTTACCAAGAAAGAAAGGAGCCTGACTGGACAAAGGCTGCCGACCTGTGTGAGGCCCTGTTGGGGCTCACCCAGCACAGGGCTTCCCCTTCACCATCGGGACAATTTCCAGCAGACCCTGGATCTCAGGGACTGCTGCTGTGCTAGGTCTGAATGTGCGGAGCGAGGCTCCCAAAGGCAGCTCAGCTGCAGCCCCCCACCTGCAAGTCACTCAGGTTGGACACATGCGTCCCACAGCACATGTTGGAGTCTATGCCTTCGATGTCAACAACTCGCACTGGCCCCGCGTGGTCATCTGGCAAACCACGGCTTCTCACCTAGCAAAAGGAGGACAGTGGCAAACAAGGTGACATTCATGCCACAGTTATTTGGTCCCACAGATATCATCAGTTCTCTCCCCACCACTCACTCTTTCAATTTCAGGGTCATCTGCAGCCAGTTCCCTTACCACCACAGGTACCCTCTCCCGGATTTTCTCATTCACACTCCTCTCCAGGGCCTCTATTTGCTCTGCTGTCATGGAGGGGGTGTCCAGCTCAATGACACTTCGCTGACGGCCCAGCTCCCTGCAGTGATGAAGAACATCTGCTGCTGTAGCTAAGACCAGCTGGAAGGTCCCTCTGTGCAGCCCTAAGTGCCATCCCACTGCTGGGAACGTGACGACTGAAACAAAACATACTTCACTCCTCTCCCTGTTTTTTACAGATCACCAGATGCATACGCTTGGAGAAGGACAAGGCAGAGCAAATACTTTGCACAGCTTCTCTCCAGTTCAGTCACCTCTCCCAGGCCCTCTGAGCTCGAGTGAAATGTCCAAGGGCAAACTGCTTTTGATTTATCAATGTTCAGCTCCTTGCGGCCCAGCACAGTGGCACAGGCCAAACAAGAAGCCTTCTTCCTGCTCACCATGAAGTTGTCTTGAATCCAAACATATGTTCTGCGATGGCAGTGATGAGATGCTGTCCTGGAAGAGAGGTGCAAGCAACAGCTTCGAGTGCCACCAGACATAGGAAAAGAGATTTTCAGTCAGACTGTATGTTTGCTGCTGACATTCCCCCTGACATTTGCAAATGCCCAGCCACGTGCTCGGTGCTGTGGGGCTTATGCTACTGCTTGGGAGCAAACAGAAGAGTCAGCCATTGCCTCATGGGCCTTGGGACCCTGAGAGCACCATGGCGCGCTGAAGACTTCGAAGCAGGTTGAACTCTTCCTTCCAAACTTGTTCACGGTGGGTTTGCTTCCAAGCTGAGGAGAGCCCCGGGATGGACTGGGTGTGCGGAGCTGTCAAGCTTCCTCCATCCCCGACCAGGGTGGGGACAAGCTGGGCACTGAGGGCCCCCCTCCTCGGCCCCCCACCCGGGGCCCGGGTGAAGCCAGGCGAGGCCGCCCCTGCAGCGCGGTGTTACCGGACGCCCCTCGGTCGGGCCGGGGCACAGACCTGAATGCTGCTGCATGTGGTCGAAGCGGCGGTCCCAGTCCAGCGACAGCAGCACCTCGGCGCCCGGTTCCAGCGCCTCCTGCACGAAGTGGACGGCCTCGGGGCCCCGCCGGGTGACGCGCAGCACCGGCACATCGCCGATGAGGCCGCGGTCGTCCGGCTGCGGACACGAGGGGCGTCAGCGCCGCCGACCCGGCCCCGGCCCCGGCCCCGGCCCCGCGCCTGGCCCCTACCTGCCCGCCGCCCTCGGGGAAGAGGATGGTGTCCTCCAGCACCACCTGGAACCCGCGCACCGGCTCCCCGCCGCCCTCGGGCCGCAGCTCCGCCGCCCGGCACGACACCACCCTGGTGGCGAACTGCGACAGAGGCGGCGGCGCCGTGAGGGCCGGCTCGCGCCTCGCCCGCCCCGCGCCCCGCCCGTCCCGCCGCTACCTGCCGGGCCCAGCTGTCCCGCTGGCACTGGAACACCATGGCGGCGGCGGAGGAGCGGCGGCCGGGACACGGGGC